GGTGTCTCTTACCTCGGGTGACATGGGCTTGTTCACAGGACCCCACCTGAAAAATGCTGTGTTAGCAAATGGTTACGCACTGAATGGTCAGCGCCAGCCAAACTGCCGGGCACCGAATGTGTCGTTGCGCAAAGCGTTCGGGAGCAAGCTTACCAAATGTCGTTCTTGGAGCTGTCCTCCTCGACAATGCGCTTGTCCAGAGGGGAGCGACCAGTCTTCTTTCCGGAATAGGCAGTGAGAGCTCCACTTGAGGTGATGGCGGAACCAGTCTCGTACACCTACGATTCTTTGTTAGCTGGAATGCGCAACCACCCGGTTGCTTGGAGCATGTACTCACCAGCGCATCTTCGTACAAAGCGGGAACAGAGGGGTTGGGAATCTGGGAGATTGTGTTAGTGCCTTATACGACATGTCTGAGGCGATCATTATACAATAGCGACGCGGTCGTAGTCGATGTGGGCTGTCTCGTGGAGCTCCTCCTCTGTTCCAACATGTCAGCTAGGCTCGTTGCCGTGAAAGTATGCCATTGAGGAGGGTCGGCTCGAGAGGGGAATTGGTCATACCGAGCTCAGTGTGCTCGTGGTGGGGACTGTAAATGGACGTTAGTTGGGTTGGTCTCTTGGTTGTGCGGGTATTATGGACAAACATACGCAACACCACCGGGGTGGAGAGGAGTCTTGTTGACGTTGCTGACAATCACTGTGAGATTCGACATGTTAGTTGGTGGTGATTTGGCAGGAACAAGCCATGAGCGGGAGGCGGCGATGGGATATATCAAGGTGCTCAGGTCCGAGACGCAAACAAGGTTTGCGTCTAAGTGGAAGAAGTCGGGTGGAGGATTGGGGGAGGTGACGAGACGAGGAGGCGAGGAAGAGGAGACGAACTTTTGCGTAAATCTGCCTGGTATCCTTCTGCGAGAATCTGTGACTTTGGGCCCTTTACTGCTGGATCAGTGTAGGGAGAGGCACTGCGTTGGACGGGATCCTTCATGTTTATAAAAGATTCTGAGAGATGAAAGAAGTCGGGTGTTGAAGGCTTGGAAAGGTTTGGAGGCTTGTGTTCTCTTCCGCTTTCAGGGATCCAAAAAGGAATCGTATCCACTTGGAGGAGTGTGAGCGTGTAGGTAGAGTGGTGTAGACAAGGCTGCTTCGTGGCTTGCTCAGACCGGAACCGAGGATAGAAGGGCCAGAACGGGGTCCTCCACTTATAAGAACGGGCGCGGCTTGTGGAGTCGCGGGGGCGAAGGCAGCAATGCCAGTGGTTAGTTTGCCGTTGCTGCGCGCTTCACGATATTATCTCGGGTTCGATGAACGGGAGAAGACCCTTGTGCGGGTTCGGGATAGAGGAGGAATAGGGAGAGAACGGGGGTGTACTTGAATGGGGGGGTGTCAAGGAGGGGTGCGGGAAGGGTGTCTGTTTAGCTGGACATGAGCGGGAAGTTGGGGTCGGCGGTGCAGGATGGGTCAGAAATGGCAGATGGTGAGGTGAAGAGCATCTTGGATTGCCTCATCGTCCCAAGATAACGAGGCCCGACCCTGTCAGTTGTGTTTTATTCGGGCCATGTTATCGCGGGGGGCCGGAGCATCTCGTAGCTGAAAGACGGGACGCTAATTGCCTTGGGTGGAGTGGGCATTCAAGGTGGGCCTGGAATAGATAATTGGAAGCAGTTTATTAGTTGGCAGTTGACTACCTAGGTAGGTAGGTAGTGTATCCAATAGGTACTCGTAGGTGATAGCTTGGTTGGTCCACTGGTTGGACGAGTTTGCGGTCAGAGGGAGAAAGGGCTAAACCATGTGTGTATTTGCAAGGGAAGAGTAATTGATATCCAATACGCTGCCTGTGGCCGCTGGCGAACCAAGGACCCAGGATTGACTGGAAGGCATGGAACTTGGATGGGAGAGGGGGGAGGAGGGGGGGGGGGGGGGGCACCGTAGGAGGGGCAACACAACGCGGGTGTGCAGGTGGTGTGTCATGGAGAGTTGTGGGGCAGCTTCTCCACAGTCTGCAGTCTGCTCCCGTACGTCTCCGTTGCGTCGGCTTGGGGCTCCCGAATCCTGGCTAACCCGTGGCTGCTTTTCGAGATTTCGAGGTTTGCATCTGTGAGTGAACTCCAGAGTTCGGGCGGCCTCCGGAACCTGTTCTTCAGGCTGAGAATGACAGCCCGAACGAACACGTACCTGTGGCACGTGAGATACATCCCTCCTCACCTTAAGGTACCTTAGGTACCTACTAACCTACCTACCTTACGCCGTACATTACCTTACCTCAAGCACGATTGTACGGCCCTTGGCTTGATGATCGATTATCCCACCCGCCGCCCGGATAATTATTATCCAAACGCATCTTTGGGTGAGGTGGGCAACGGAACGGAACTGCTTGCGGGGACTCTAGTTCAAACACACAATGCCATCTCCCATACCTGTCTTTGGTTCCTCGTTGCTTTTCCTTTGTAAAAGTGCATGATCGAGTCAGTATCAAACAGACCGCTTCGCTCGGATAAAAGCATCTTTTAGCTGGCACAGGCACCTTTTCTCTGAAGGTTTCCAGATTTTGCGAGATGAGGTGGGCTGTCTGCTCTGTAAGGTAAGGTACTTACCTATTCGTAAATGTGCTACTTGTATCAGGCACTCGAGTAAGGTCCCTAGCGCTGAGCTGGCGCATGCGAGGCCGATGTTCCTGGGTAAGGGTACGTAAACTCCCATAGCAGACCTCCGCGCATGTGCTGCTGTCCAATGTGGCAGGCGTGCCTTGCCGCTGCGCAAGCCTCCGTGTCCAGGGCAGTCTACTACCCAATCTCAATCTCCCCCAGCCATGGCATCTCCAAGACTCCCATTTCCCGCCTTCTCCTCCCCCCCGCCCCCGAACCCGCCCACCAACAGGCCAAGCCTCTCATGGGGTCACCGACGTTGGCGTTCCCATTTTGGTCCTTTGGTCTGATCTGGCCCTGCTCGCCCTACAACTATGCTACCTTGCCATTCCCAGCGTTGACCACTCCGACTGGGCCCTGCTTGCTGCTGTGCTGGGTTGCCCGTCTGCTCTCGAATCTTGCCGCATCTCAAAGCCGGGGCCGCTAACGCGGGAAAGTCTAAACATCATTTTTTCTCCTGCTTCATCAGCCCTCTCCTCGTGCCCGTTTCTCAGAGTCCTTTGTTCCAGTCTTCCGATGCCCCTCTCCCTTCCGCGCGTGTCTCGTCTGCTCTCTGTGACCGGCACATGGCTGCCGTCCGCCTGTCCCTTCCCCACGTCTTCTGTTCGGGTTCGACGTGCGTGGTAGGTAGTTGCATTTCTCCGTCTCTCACTTCTCAGCGGCATGTGTCGAGGAAAAGCTGAAACGGCGTCTACGAAAATACTTAGGAACACCTTTACTTGTCACTCGTGGCCGTGTCCACCGGCGGGCGGCGGCAATGCAATGCGAGAAGCAAAATCCCATCCGACTGACAAGGCCGTTTTCCCAACCGCACGCCCCCCTTATCTCGTCCAAGTTGGCGTACCTAGCTTCATTGTCGCATTCCTGATTCTCCATCGGAGCATCACGGAAACGAGCACCGCAGCAGTCATTAACAGCCCCAAAACGAGCCCCAAGCATTGCAAAAGATGACGTTCGGCTGCTGCTCGAGAGCCGCTTGGCCCCGCCGCAATCCCACCTTGCACCCTCCACGTAGCCGAGCATCTAGTGCAAGTTACCCCGCGCCCCGTTCCCCATGACCAATCACCCTTCGTCTTCATGCAGAGAGGCTTACCTTCAGCTATTCGTTCCGACATTCTCCGGCAAGCAATACCAACTTCCACTGCTGTCCCCCCCCCCCCTTGACGCCGCCGCCTAACTTCTACGGTAGTATGTCCTGGAATATCAGTTAGGGTCCCCCAAAGATTAGAAAAGTGTGAGAGCACAGCAACGTAACAGTACGTACAGGGCAGGGGGGTTTACTATGTAGACGTAGCCACTTGGCTGAATGTTGATCCATCGCTGCCTTTGCACCTAGGGTCTTTTTCGCTATGACGAATGTTGCTATTACGTACATGCCGGCTTTTACGAGCCCTCGTGACCGCCGAAATTTCAAGAAATAGGAGTCAGCTTCTCAGGCGCAGACCGCCCTCAATCAAGGGGTTGTGCATCACTTGACCTGGCACGTTCCCGGGGAAAAAAGAAACGAGATTGCAATTCTCCGTGGACTGTTCTGGCCGAACGGGCTGAGTGTAGATGTGTGCATGCGGCAGACGCAGTACCTAACCCCACGATCGATGTTTCCCGAGAGAACGGCGCAAGAACACAGGCAACTGTATCTCAGTATCCGTACTAGGCTGGGCTGGGCTCGGCTGGACTAGGTAGTACCTACGCTGGGACGCCTCCGTTAGGCCGGGGACCCCTCGGCTCCGCTGCCCCGCCGCCGATTGCCGTAGCCCGGCTCCATAGATTCCTGCCCGAATATTGCACCCCTACCATTGGGTGTTTCTAAACCCACTCCGACACGAGAATAACCCGGGTTCTCCGACATCGCTAGGGGCATCCTTATCGTCCCCTGACCTTTCATCATCGGGTCCGCAGAAATCCTCTATCATCGGGATTACTCGGGACGCAAACAGTTCAAGGTTGTCACCTCGGAAAATGTGATTTATAAATCCTGCTTCGGCCTGGAGGGTCAAAACGTGAAGCCATCGTCATGCGCCTGCTTTGAAGGGTTTGAGATTGATTTTTCTTTAGTTCTACCTCCCCTACCCATCCCTTACTATTCTCAGAATGCTACGTCTCTATCATGCGGAGCCCTCCCGTTGCGGCCCGTCCGTATTGCCGCCACGGCATTACCGCCCTCCATGACGTCGCTCTGTCCTCGTTGTACGCCATCTCAGGTCAATCTCTATGCACATTGGCCATGGCCCAGAACTTTTCTGTACTCTTTCTGCGCTTGCTTCGCGAGCCTGCCATTCCAAGAGGGGAACTCAATTTAGCCAGCTCCTCTCAACCGAAGTCGACCTTTGGTTTCATTTCATTCGTTCAGAATTTAAGCCGTTTCATCCGTAATCAGCTTCGTGATCTTGCCAATGGCAATGGTTTGTCCCTATTTCCCAACATGTCAGCCATCAGACGTTCAATAATCCATGTGAACCAATCATACGAACCTGGTCTCTCAGGGTGAAGCGACCCATCTGCGGGTAGTCCTCGAACTTCTCAATGCAAACCGATCCAGCACCACCGATAACCTGCATGCGGGCGATGATGCTGTCGCCCTTCTTGGCGTGAGACGGCGGCAGCTTGCTCTTTCGGTTGGTGCCCTTCTGGAGCTTGTGAAGCAGCGCCGCGAATGTCACTTCTTCAATGGCAGCGTGCACGTGCAGTACGCAGTTGAAACCAGCAGTCAAGATGCTCTTGAGCTCGAGGATACGGATCTGAGCCTCGAACGTGGCAACGTTGTGCACCAAGCGCTTGGGCGAGCACAGCACGAATCCGGGGAGAATGTCTTCTTCCTCGATGCCCCTGAGGCGAATACGAACCTGGTCACCGCACTGCGCAACCTGGGTTTCTTCTTCGGTCTCGCCGTATACGGCGGCAACGTCCACGCTCTGCTTGTTCGGCATCATAACGAGGGACATGCCCTTCTTGATAACACCGGCCTCGATTTTGCCCTCGATCATGGTTCCGAGATCTCGGTACTTTCCGGCAACGGCCATCATGAAGGGTGCATTGACCTTGCGCTCAAGAGCCTTCATGTTGTCGAGGTACTCGAGCAAGGAGGGTCCTTCCCACCAAGGAGCGACACCCTTAGGAATTCTGTCCTTGATGTTCATGGATTGCTGGGCAGCCACAGGCAGGAAGTAGACGTCAGTCTTCAAGTTATAGCCAGTGCCCTTAAGGAATTGGGACAGCTTGGTCGTGCACTCCTTGTAGCGCTCCTCGGACCACTCAACAGTAGGATCGTCCATCTTGTTAATGGCAACAATCAGCTTGTTAACACCCTGGGTTTTGGCAAGCATAGCGTGCTCTCTGGTCTGGCCACCTCGTTCGAAACCGGTCTCGTATTCACCCTTACGGGCGGAAATAACGAGGATACCAACATCGGCCTGAGAAGCACCACCGATCATGTTGGGGACGTAGGTCTTGTGACCGGGTGCGTCCAGGATACTGTAGCGGCGCTTCTCCGTCTCGAAGAAGCCTCTGCCAACTTCGACGGTCTTTCCCTTAGATCGTTCCTCCTTGGTCAGATCCATGACCCATGAGAGGTACCATGAAGGGTTTCCAAGCTCCTTGGCCTCGCGCTTGTATTTGTCCATCGTTCGCTCGTCGACCATGCCTGTAGCATAAAGAATTGAACCACCAAGGGTCGACTTTCCAGCATCGACGTGACCGATGAAAATAATGTTGACATGCTCCTTGCCGTAGATTTCCTTGAGAGTCTCTTCGTCAACGTCGGCTGTCTGCTCTTTCTGGACAGCATCGGCCTCGCGAACAGGACCCTTGCTGGCACCACCGGACGGGCTGGAACGGCCAGATGAGGGAGAGGGAGAGGTCTTGCCAGACTTAGTGGTCGAAGCACCCGTCTTCTCAATAGCCTTTGTCGCCGTCGCCTTGGCCCCAGCCTCAGCAGCTGGGTTGGTATCCTTCTTAGCCTCCTCCTTGGGAGCCTCCTTCTTCTCCTCCTTCGCAGGAGCGGCAGTACCGCCGATAGAGAGGACCTTGGCCTTGGGCTTAGGAGCGTCGCCGCCGATGCTCAAGACCTTGGCACCGCCTTCCTTCTTCACTGTCGGCTGAGGTGCCGGCGCGGCGGCAGCGGGAGCATCAGCCGGGCGCTTGGCGATGGTGGGAGCAGGCTGCTGAGCCTGAGCCTGAGGCTGTTGTTGTTGCTGGGCATATTGCGGATATCCTTGACCTTGGCCTACGAGTTGTCAGCATAGGTCATATGGCCAAGATGTCTGCATTGGAAGCGGACAGAGATGATTTACGTACCATATTGTTGCTGGTAGCCACTGTAGCCTTGCTGTCCGTACTGTGAGTTGTATCCCTGTTGGCCGCCATATTGAGGGTAGCCGGCGCCGTAGCCTTGACCATAATACTGCTGGTATTGAGGGGCGTAGCCACCGTACTGCTGACCGGGCTGAAAGGACTGAGCTCCAGGGGTGAAGGAGGATGCGCCTGGACGGAAGGAGCCAGCCTGGGGGTTGTGTTGGTTGAGGTTAAGCTGCTGCTGAGCCTGGCGCGACAGGTTGTCGTCCTGGGCAGCCGGATCGTCTTCCCACGAGTTGAGGTTCGACATGTTGATAATCTGCGGCGGGGCGGTCGATGTATCGATGCGGGCGAATGTCGATGTCGGGGGTTTAGAGGGGTTGGAGGTTAAGGTGAGGTGGTGAGCGGATTCGGGGAGGTGCGGTCAGAACTGGAAGTGGGATGGGACGTTAACGAGATGCGCCCAAGAAAGATTTAAAGAGGGGCTGGAGGGTTATTTTTTTTACAGCAGGCAAAAGGGTACGCCGGGACACAGGACACAGAGCACACCGGATACCTCACCTCGAGGGAGGCAAATGAAAGAACCCAGTGACGGCAATCGGGCTGGAATGACTCACTCTTGGGTTGGCCAATACACCAAGGTGCTATTCCAAGGCAACAGTGCTGAACGGAGTCCAGCCTTTCTTTTACGACGAATCTTCTTTTTTTCCCCTTTCTCCTGCGCTGGCTGTAGGAAATCTGGTACACTACCTAATCGTCAAGTTTTGCAGAGTCGAGACCCGATCCACCCCAAGGCGGGGTGCTGCCTTACCTCCCTACCTGGGCGGCTTGAGTGACGTCGCACTGTATCCAAGCCATTGAGGGGTAAATGTGCCGCCTGCATCCACAGTGCCCCTCGCTGAGGCACGTGAGAGGTATGGGCTCACACTGTCTTGCGCACTGGACCCCTCCACCCTAATCGGGCACCTGCGCTTGCTTTTCTCTCACCTATGGCAACCTGCTGAGGTACCTTGCCCTGCCTCAGCATCCCGGTCATGGCCAGGTGCAAGTGATTTCGATTTCTCGCCTTTCTTCAATGACCAAGAGTTTGTCGCCCGACACTTATTCTTCGCTCCGCAATTTCAATCTGCGGGCCAGGATCTTACTTGTTGTTGCACCATACCGGTTTTTTTGGAACAGCATGGCAGTTGCTGAGTCGCAGCAGCAGCACCAGCCATGGACGCCTTACTCGCAAAACTGGGAGCCCAGGCCATGAATATGGCCATACGGTCAGGTATAGCTCTGACCTCGACCTACGCTTTTTCCCAGTGTTCACGCCTGATGAAGACGGTGGATGACAGAGCTGTCCGTTCGGAGCTGAAGAAACTCCAGAAAACCCTCGACAGCAACATTAAGGTGGGTGTTTGCCATGAAGGCCACCAGAGCGGTGTGACTAACACGCCTCTAGGTCGTCTCTCCAGCCATTGATCTTGTTGAATTCAAGTAAGAACTCCTCGAGCAACATCAAGCTGACACAAGCCGCTAAGCTCTTTCCAGGTCTGGAAGAGGCAATGCCTTCTTGGAGTCCGCTTTACCCCTGGCCAAGGGCCTTCATCAGGACATCATCGCGCTCGGCCGTCGCGTAGAGCAGGCTGCTGAAGCAGGAGAAGCGCCTCATGCCGCCGTCCGGCGCAGCATCGATGGAGAGCAGCAACTTGCCGAACTGAAGGCCATCATCAACGACATGAAAGATCTCCTCGCCCGTATCGACAGAGATATACCGCTCTTGCACATGGCTATCACTGCGTCGGGTGAGAGTCTAAACTCGTCAATGTCTCCCAGCATATCTCCGTCTAGACTGTTGCAAGCCGGCATGTTTCTGACATTTGGAGACACTCAATATGCTGCCGACCCATCCCGGCCGGTACAGATAGGTCCGGCTTTCACTTTGTCCCTTTACATGCTGTTCATCGGCCACGCTGCACCACATCCCAAAGACCGACTGGAGAAATTGGAAACCCATCCGAGCACACCTCAAAAACCGCCGCGCAGCCCTCTTGGAGTGTCGACGGAGGCATATGGGTTCGAAGAGGGCGACAGGAAACCAGTGTGGCAGGAAGTCATCCACAAAGCCAGAGTACGACTGTGCCGGACACCAATGGACCACATTTTTGATGCCAACAAAGGTTTTCGAGCGGGGCGTACAAGGGGCCAGACCTTCGGTGAATCTCACCCCTTTGGTCCGTCTCGTCCCATGGGGCAGCACAATGAGTACGCGTACCACTTGGAGATTATCGAGGACCTGGACGACGGCCGTGTCCATGACGAATTGGATGCCCATGCGGCCGCCTACGACGATATCAGCTGCGCAGGTATACGGGAATCCATACCAATTCACCAAATTGCAAAAATATTCTATGCCGACACGGGCAGGATTCTAAACATTGGTAGCGATGGCCTGGACAACAACCCGGTTCTTTTGTTGAAACGGGACATACTTGCAAAGCCACCGTCACAGGTCCAGGAAGAGATGATGGCATATAGCGACGATCCTGCATCTAGGACGGCGTCCGAGACTGGAAGCAGTTTTGGTGACCAAGACGAACAGGATGACATTGACCGGCAACTCCGCGAAGAGAGCGCTGCGCTTGACACCCTGGAGGAACTACCTAAGTCGCCAATGACTCCACTCACGAGGCAATTTCCGAGCCATCTGGATCCTGAATGGATTGCCTTGGAGGTTTTTGAAGAAGACGAGGCAGAGAGCAGCGAGACGGAAGACGAAGAATTTGTGGAAGAGGGAGGAAAGTTTCTCGGAGTGTCGCCGACAACGTCTGCTGCTACACCGCCTGCTGCCAACTCCCGGAGAGCAAGATCCTCGTTAGACTCGAGGCTCGTAGCCCAGATCCAAAACATGTCTATGCAATCGTCGTCTCCAGTTAGAGACGTGCGCACGCCCCCGCATCCCTACACTCAAGACTTGGCGCGTCGTACAATGGACAATACGGATTCTTTTGTGCAGCGCTCGCCTTTCGGCGCGGTGACCACATCGTTGTCCCTGATGGAGATGCTCATCAGGCTTACAAGTTTGCAAGAATTCCAGCAAGCGTCACATCTAACAATTCACGACCACATCCTGACATTTTTCCTTGAAGAGACATCGACCACCGGATTAAGAGGAGAGGAACAGCTGCGGGCTAGAACGGAAGCGAAGCGGCGTGTTGGTTTTGATCCATACACTGATACCCCATCTAGATGATAGAATTGACGCAATAGACATGAGTATATGGCCAAGGCCCTCTGCTTTACATCGTAAGGATCAGTAAAGAGTGTTGGCGACCCATTCATATCGCGCGATAGTCATGACGAAGGAGACGACGACGTCGTCGATAACGATAATAAAGACAACGATAGTAGCGATAGGAATCAGGATACATGCGATGAGAGGCGACGACGACAATAGCGGGCACACATGAAACGTAGCCGCTATAGCACGGGAAAGCTAATCGTGAGAAATGGACCACGCCTATTCTTTAGACGTCCACAGATTGTGGTAAAAAGAAAGTGAGCCTTTACGTTCAGCGGGACTCATCCATACTTGTATGCCCACTGCCCAGACTAGGTACCGCAGTAGATGAGGCAGAAGGCACAAGGATGGATATCTCAGCACACTGCCTCATTCAGCCACGCTTAGCACCGCCACAGGGACCCTAGTCAGCTCCGTTCACACCGTTGTGCTGTGGCGTGGCGTCGACCCGTTGCCCATCCGTTGCTGGGGAGAGATATTATGTCATTGGTAAACGTGGTGGGTGGTAGGTACTTCGTGCATTCACTCTGGTACATACCCACGCACAATTACCCCCCAATCCTGCACCCATATACACGTCACACCTTTTCTGGACGTGACGAGAGAGCTTGCGATAGCCAAAAAGCCCACAGACTTTGGAGACCAAGCTTTGAGCATTCCAGGTCAAATTCGCTGCTTATGAGTCTCTTGTGAAGTAGGTTCAGCCCACAATTGCTTCTTTTTTTTTTGTTTGTTTTTTGTTCTTCTTTTGGGAAACATCCCAACGAAGCTCGGTGTCACTAACCCCTCCTCCAACATAATAGAAAGCCTAGCGCCGACTTTTGTTTTCGCCCAAGAAGCAACATAACTCTCGAAGAGCAAGCCAACATCTCCAAGTCACCTTGCAAGCAGCCGCCGCTATCTATCCCTGTAGGCGAGGACCAGTCGCGGTGTTCATACAAAACAATCATGGTCAATCAACGCCATCCCGTCAAGGGCCCTTTGCGCCCAATCAACCCCAACGACGACTCGCACTCCTCTGGCAGCCGCGAAGTGTCGAAGACATCAACACCTAGCAAACAGGCTCATGGCACCCAGAGTAGCTCTGCGAGGCCCCAGAGCCGTGGCACAGCCTCCCTAGATCCCGATTCGCTATCCTCCAGATTCGACGCTATGCGTGTGTCAACCACGCCCAAGGGCAAGCCGCCGCCAAATGCTACTAACATGTCTGCTCGCCGCACGCCACCTCCACAACGGTCAGACAGCCCCGACGTCGTTGAAATCACCAGCGTCGATTTCAAGCAACCTTCATCGTCGAGACCAAGCTCCAAGGAAAGCCAACCTAGTCAATACGAGCAATCAATGCTGCACTCTGAGGCCCTAGAGTCATTCTTTTCAGACACCAAGCGGCACGACCCCTTCCATCCTTCTTCGTCCCCACGGCCTGTGTTTGGCCACCCGACCAAGATAGTGTCGTCTCTTAAGCAAAAGGCGGCAGGCATCTTCAACGAGCGAACGTCTCGACCCGAGCATCACAGAGCTCAGCAGGTGTCTGTACCTGCCGTACCACTGTATCAAGACCAAAAACCTGCGCCTCTCACTCTCTACAGCTCTATCGGACCCGATGCGAACCCATCCACATATCGACCGACCGGCAACTTTGGCGATGCCGATTTCTACACCGATCCAGCCAAGGCTTCTGCGGACTTGAAAGCACTCCTGGAGGGCGGCATGGAAGATGACGAGGAGGAGGATCAGGAGAAACAGGATACAGAAAAAGACGGCAAAGATGGCAGTATGGAAGGTCTCAAGGTGAAACTCCTGCCTCATCAAGTCGAGGGTGTCGAGTGGATGAAAGGCCGTGAACTTGGACCCGTCAAGAGAGGCAAGGTTCCCAAGGGTGGTATCCTGGCAGATGACATGGGTCTTGGCAAAACTCTCCAAACAATCGCTCTCATTCTGAGCAATCAGAAGCCCTCCAAGGGCGAGAAGGGCTACAAAAAGCATTTCGATGGCATTGAGAAGACAACATTGGTCGTGGCACCTCTGGCCCTGATCAGGCAATGGGAATCAGAGATCAAGGAGAAGGTGGTGAAATCGCACGGATTAAAGGTATGCGTTCACCACGGGCCCCAGCGTACTAAGCGCTTCAAGGATCTCGCGCTGTACGACGTTGTCGTAACTACCTATCAAGTGCTTGTCTCCGAATGGGGCCACTCGTCAGAAGACGAGAACGGTGCCAAGGCAGGATGTTTTGGTCTTCACTGGTGGCGTGTGGTCCTTGATGAGGCTCACACCATCAAGAACCGCAACGCAAAGTCGACAAAAGCTTGCTATGCTTTGCGGTCGGAATACCGTTGGTGTTTATCTGGAACACCAATGCAGAACAACCTTGAAGAGTTGCAGTCTTTGATCAAATTTCTCAGAATCAAGCCCTACGATGACCTCAAAGAGTGGAAGGAGCAGATTGAGAAGCCACTCAAGAATGGCAAGGGTCATGTCGCTATTCGTCGTCTCCACAGCCTGCTTCGGTGCTTCATGAAGCGTCGCACGAAGGAAATTCTTAAGGAGGAGGGTGCCCTCAATCCTGGTGGCAAGCCAACCAAAGAGGGTGAAAAGTCTAGTACCGGCTTTAAGGTCACCGAGCGCAAGGTTGTGACGGTTGCCACTGCATTTTCCCCCGCGGAACGCCGCTTCTACGACAGACTGGAGGCTCGAGCTGATGAGAGCATCGAGCGCATGTTGAAGGGCAAGGTGGACTATGCTAATGCTTTAGTCCTGCTCCTGCGACTTAGGCAAGCTTGCAACCACCCGAAGCTGGTCGAAGGAAAGCTTGACAAGGACAAGGATGCACTCTCGACCGACGCGGGCCAAAAGAACGTATCGGCAGACATCGACGCCCTCGCCGATATGTTCGGTGGCATGGGCATCGTCACAAAGACCTGCGGCATTTGTGGCCGGGATCTGCCCAAGGATATTGCCAAGAGCGGGCAGGATACTTGTCAAGAATGTTACGATGATCTTGCATACTTCAAAGAGCATGAGACGCCAAGAAGAAAGAAGCCCAAGTTTAGAAAGGGCAAGCTAGGCAAGGTGAAGAAGATTGTAGAGCAGAGTTTGGTTGCCGATGATGAGGACGAGAGCCCACAGAAGCCCAAGTCTCGGCGGCCTAGGCAACGCAATGTTGTCATGGATAGCGACGACGAGGAGGCGGAAGGTGACTGGCTCGTTCCCGAGGACCAACAAGGCCAGCTCCGCATGGGCAAGGCCGGAGGTGAAGAAGATGAGAATGCAGAGGGTGGCGGAGACTGGATCGGATCTGAAGACTCGAGACACGGGTCTGAAGATGAAGACGACGGCAGCAACCTCGACAGCTTTGTTGTCAAGGATGATGGGGTCAAGCCCGAGGACGTGGATGATAGTCTTGTTTCAGACGACAGCCTTCCCTCGATAGCAGCGATAGCATCGCAGCTCGATGAGAAGTATAGGTCATCCCAGTCCTCCGAGGCTGACTCCAAGTCTGACTCGGAAGAAGATACCGGGGTCGACGAGTCGGAAGTATACTCTGACCGAGACTCACGCTACAAACCTAACGGCCAGGTATCGCAGATTCTCGCGTCCGCCAAGATCCGCCAAATGATGCAGCTACTGCACAAGGAGACCGACGAGCACAAATTCATTGTATTCTCGCAGTTCACCTCAATGATGGACCTTGTGGAACCCTTCTTCCGCAAGGAGGGCCTCAAATTCACGCGCTATGACGGCAGCATGAAGAACGACGAGCGCGAGGCTAGCTTGCACCGCCTGCGCAACGACAAGAACACGCGCATCCTGCTTTGCAGTCTCAAGTGTGGCAGCTTGGGTCTCAACCTCACTGCAGCCACCCGAGTCATCATTCTCGAACCCTTCTGGAACCCTGTAAGTTGTTGGACCAATAGACACGCTTCGTCTGTAGCCTAGGTCGCTAACATGTAATCTTTCCCCCCAGTTTGTTGAGGAGCAGGCCATTGACCGAGTTCACCGCCTCACACAGACAGTCGACGTCGTCGTCTACAAGCTCACCGTCGAGAAGACGGTAGAGGAGCGTATCCTCCAGCTGCAAGAGAAGAAGCGTCTGCTCGCGGAGACGGCCATCGAGGGAGGCATGAAGAAGGACGCGTTCAAGCTCGGCTTCAAGGAGATCATGGATCTGTTCCGCCGCGATGACTCTCACGGTGCCGGTGCCGAAAACCACGACAACTATGTTGACCAGTCGCGCAGCACCTCGGTGCGAACCAGTAGACAAGGCTCCCCCGAGATCGGAATGCTGCAAAAGGCCCGTAAGGCGCCGAAGAAGGCGGAACACGAGATGTTTGGTCGCCGATGGTAGGCGAGACAAGACTCGGCCGTACCTTTTGTCTCCTATTTTTCATGCTTAGATGATGGATTCGGTGACGATGGCGGAACGATAGACGGTGCAGAGACGGAGAGGCTTTGTCGCTGAGATTCATCCCATCACAGCATTTAGGCGTACCGCGATAAGGGGAGGGAGGCATCTGCAGAGTAGCAGCCCTGCGTGGCGTCTATGGTGATTTACGGTGTTCGTATTAGCCCATGATTTATTATGAAACGAAGACAAGAATCATTGCACGCAGGTAAGGAACAATAGTGACGACCTTAATCGAAACCAGGCCTCCAGATTGCAGGGCAAGTTGTGCCAGACAAAAGATCCGGCCGGCTCCAACCCAGAGAGCTGCCCAAAACTCTTCCAAACTCTATGCACCAAGCGTGACGACGCAGATACGTGGAACATATTTTTGATGTCAAGTATGGTACAGATCCTAATTACGTACTGATCAGCCCCCTTCCCCGTCATGCCTTTCTTGATGTCCAGTCGACAAATTGCTAGTTGTGGGTATGAGTGAGGCTCTAGGGACCTAGCGGGATACATTCGTTTCTCCCCTTGCACTTTCATTCGCGCTCCTTGAGCCAAA